AGTGCGCACCCCCCCTATCCAGTTATTACACTGGCCAGGGGCGCAGTCCACAGAAAGAGAAGAGAAAAGAAAGATGAGAGAAAAGACAGAACTCAAGTCACACTGTCAGTCAGTCACAACAGGAGGGAGTAGAAACTAAACACACACAACCCACAAACACAAAAACAGCAAGTGAACCTAGGAGTATGTTTTAGTACAAACATCTCATCAAATAACTTGACAATTGTGCAAATACATGTTAAATTAACAAATCGTTGAATAAATTAAAATTCAGTATCATTAGGATTGCATTTTCACTTGGATTTCTTTAGTCAATACTTACAAATGATGGTTGCAGGACGTTCAAAGTCTCAGTCAGGAGATTACTTGATGTGGATTCCTCCACTGATTCCTCCATTGAAGTGTCTGCAGAACTTGGTGCGTTAGTGGCAATGGCAGTCTAGAGAATCGGTTAAGGGATGATTCCAAAGACTTCTTAAAACATATAGATGATCGAACGGTCAACTTCAGAATTCTGTCAACTGTATTTACAGAGACGGGATCAGGCAATGCCATCACAAATGTCCTAAATCAATCCTATGTGAGCAGCTAATCATCAGCACAGCTGGATCGATAAGTGTGAAACTTTGCACGCACACTCCCAGTAGGCTAAGGAAGAACCTCTGCCCCACGCTTTTCAAATCGCCTCATGGTGGCAACAGCCCACTTCCATGTTTTGGCCTATAACTCTTGAACCCTTGGTCGTACAGGCTCATGAGTCAACTCCCCATATAAGTCATGACCATTTGTGCTGGACTAGATTTTCCACCAGTGTGCGTTTTCTCCAAAACACACTTTTTGCTGCTACTTCTACAGATTTTGAACAAAACTCATACAAATGGTACACATCTCTGCAGCCATGTGATCAAGATGTATCATTCAGATTTCTCATATTCCATTCCAGTTGACTATCATTTACTTTTAAGTTCCTACCGTGGAGGAACTTGTTAGTGATCCCACGTGATCAGTCTGGCAATGCCAGGCTAAGCCAATCTGGCCTAGCGGAGATCATTTCTAATTTCTCTCTACACCAAATATCTTTGCAGACAATAGCCAATCTACAAGCTCTCAATGCTTTGTGTTGCAATGCATTGTGAGTTTGAGATCTGCTATTTGCCCAATGTTCACCCCAGAATAGGCTACACAAATGTCAGATGGCCAGAGCACAGAATCTTAACCACTTAAACCCTCTCAATTTAGAAAAGTGTACCTGTATGTAATTTGACCTCTTTTCCGGTCAACACCAAATTTCTACTCAAATTCTCTTCACCAAAAATAGCAGATCTACAAGTTCACAACGTGTTGCAAGCCGACACGATGTGAGCTTGTAGATCTGCTTTTTTTGGCAAATATCCCCCCCCCCCCCCAGAATTTGGATGCAGTGGTTAAAAGACTGTATCTAAGTGAAACGTATGAGTAATTGTCATCATCTCTGTAGGACTTCATTGCATGGAGACCGTGATAGTCCTGGAGGGAACTCTGATCAACAGCAAACACATTAGTGGTTGCCTCAACACCATAGGCAAACAAATGCCTATCAAATCCTACTGTATCCCACTTTTGGACAGCTTGACTGAGTGATCCAAGACTAGAATATTTTTCACTAGGCCAAACTGGGGTTCTCCATCAGCAGCGTAAGACAGAAATACTGTCACGCCAGGTCTGTATTGTGTACCATTAACCTTTACCCAAGTTGGCACAAAGGTTTCAGTAAAGGGTGGGATATCTTCAAGACCACTTTGTACCTCACCAAAACCATCCATTACAGCCAGCAGGGTGCTGTGACCTGGACCAATTTCAGTTTCCGGTTTGAATACATCACCAGCGAGGAGGGAGTAGCACAGTCATCTGATGCCTAAATGCCATTGTCTTGCAAATATTTCTGAAGTTGCAGGTGATGTGGCAGATGCGTTTAAAAAAGGCATGTTTCGCTTCAAAACGCATTGCCCAGAACTGAATCAGGGGTCCCAACTTCAGTATTGCACCTGGATAGTGCACCATTAAGTGATGCTTTGGAATAAGGTGCTTGTGGGGGTACAGCTCAAGGAACAGAGAGTGGTGCTCTTCAATGATGGCGGCTAAATAAACTGTAACTTCTGGTGTCAGAGATGGAGAGAAAACTATTTCCATGCATTCCAGAAAGAGGAGCAAGAGCTCCCAGTAGGGGTGTAACGGTATCCGTATTCATCCCGTACCGTCACGGTTCGGACCTCACGGTTCGGCACATGCAGTCACACGACGAATACGCCTTTTTTTTACGAGTGGGAAAAAAGTCTGTCATTCAGGGCAGTATCCACTACATATATAATCCAGGGGGCGGTATTGCGCCTAAAAGCTGTTTGCCAGCCGCCCTTAAACAACAAATGAAGAACAAGAAGAAAACACAACAAAACGAACAAAATACAAGAAGAAGAAAAGTTAGTATGGCGATTTCAGATAACACACAGGAGCTAGAACTCACCTGCTTCTTTTAAATCAGCTGTGTGGGAACATTTCGGGTTCCCTGTGGACTACAATAACGATGAGGTGTGCGAGTGGTGGATCGACGAGGACGGTGTGTCGGCGTTGTTCGATAGCGGTGCGGTATGCTAATGGGAACACACGCCAAACATGCTAAATCATATCAGAAGGCATCACCCAGATTTGCCACTCACCGGAGCCCGGCAAAAGACAACAGCAGTTCAACAGCTGATCCCCGCTATTTTTAAGAAGCCAAGAGACATGAGAGCAGTGAGACCAAAATAAATAACTGAAGCTTTTGGCTTATTATTTATGATGTAATATTGTCAAGACATTCTTTTTAGTTTTACAGCTTGATGAAACCTTTTTGTTTGACATCAGCCATTATAGATATTATGGCCATCTGAGTGTTTGTGGTACTGTTTGTGGTTTGTTTTTAACTGTTTAATACAGTTAATTATTCAAAATGTCAGAGTTCCTTATTTTTAAACTGAAACTTGCACTACTGTTCAAAAATAAATAACAACAAACCTGGAATTATGCATTTGGGACTTTTTTTTGCTTTTTCTTGTTGTACCGAACCGTGACCTCCAAACCGAGGTACGAACCGAACCGTGACTTCTGTGAACCGTTACACCCCTAGCTCCCAGTGTTTATTCTCTTCCGGTATGAGGTCCCCAATCATACACGGAACATGCCTGAGAAGACACCATGTTTGGGATGCAGACTGACGCATTGCCCTTTCTGGAATTTTAAGTTCCTGCTTCCCAATCACAGTTGGCTTGTTCTTGACATCAGAAAAGCCATAATCAAAACTGGTGATTCTGAAGTTGAGCGTGTCAAGAGTGAGGTGTTTGTCCTCAATCAAGGAGGCGAGAACCAACTTCAGTTCAAATGGACCTACCCCTTCCAACAAGTCATGCATAATATCCAAAACCTTGTTGTTTGTCACATTTAAAGTTGGATAAATTATTCAGAATACTGTCTCTCTTGACACCAGTATCTGACAGGCTATTACGACTAACATCTGCAGCATAATTTGCCTAGTTTCTGATCAGGGTTGCATCCTTTTTTGTCTGTGTCTTTGTTATGGTCTTGTGTGCCTTGCAGATGCGACAAAAATAATTACTGGAGAAGCACTCAGTAAATCCAAGAATGGCATTCAAGCCGAGATTGTCCCCACACAACTGGGCAACTGAAAATCTCATTTCACCCTTAAAGTGAGGTGTGTTGAGAGAGATCCCATTGACCTCATGATCCTTCAGTTCCTCTATGACTGGGCGCAGAACACTATCAATCCCATAGGTTTTGGCATCATCCACTTTGTAAACTGCCACCAGAAAGTGTGATGAGAGTTTTGATAAAAACGCTGGGGGCAAACTCTTGAAGACCAAGTAAATGAACCCCAACTTGTGCACTGCAACCTTTGATCCCAGTGGGTTGACTGTTTCACAGTCATCGTTATACAACAGAAGTGGAACAGACACTTTCCTGGAGAAGAGAGGATGCTGCTTACAGTATTCCCCATCATAGAAGTCTGAAAGGACTCCATCTTCTCTTTGCTGCCAGGCAAAGATGGCATCCAAAATGCCAGGGATCTCAAGCACTTTAACCAAGAGAGGTTTCAGGGGGACACGATAAAACGTATCTTGCAGTAAAACCTGTCTAACTGTCCCAGTAGCAGAGGCCCTTCTCTGCACAAAGGACTCTCCAGTGAACGCCTCCTCTACAGGGTCAATGAAGTTGCCTGACTTGACAAAATACTGCATATGTTTGAATTCTGATTCAAACCCTTCGAATGGACTAGCTGCTGCCTCAAAATCATGGGCCAGTTCCTTTACCCCGGGATCATCCCTATGACCAAATTTCTCAAACAGATACATTGTGTTCCTCTGGAGTGAACTGACAATGTCCGAAACCAAACTAGATGTTTGTTGCACAACAAAACGTACTGTACTGTAGGTCTGTGCCGATTTAGCCTTAAGGGTTGCCAAAAACAGAGCTATTCGCTCGGTTATGGTTTCTGGTTCCAAGTCATCCCAGTAACCATCATGTTCATTTTGGACCTCTACAGTCTCAGAATTGTCTACATTCATGGGAACTGAAATGGATGCTCTTGAGGCCCCCTGGAATGCTGTTCAGTGCCATGATAATGGTCTGGGACAGAATGCTGCACAAGGTGTCTTCTGAAAGACCGCACATACCCAAAAGAACGCCTGCAACCATGTTCGTGGCACTGCCAGAATGTTGAAGCGCTATTCATGCCATGCACTGCCCTCAAATGAACAAACAGACCCTTAGCTTCACCGGGTATGACTTGTCTGCAGCGGAAGCAAGTATATGCCATCATTAACTACTGTAGCTGACACTTCTTAAAGGGTGAAACAGCAAGGTGTGAAACAAATAAGTGGATGGAGCAGAGAAAAAACTTACCTGCCACTTCAGATAAAAACAAACCCTTTACTCACAAGTTCCTTGTGATATTTCTGGAATTTGACACGGTGTCCAATTTTCGGTATTAGCGAGGCAATGGCAATGGCATCCAACAGGCAGAAACTTTCCTCATCAACTTCCTGGTCTGAAATTCAAAAATGAAAATCATAAAGATTGTAAATGTGGTTACAATTGTGGGACCAGATCTAGGCCTGTCACAATTATTGCAATTTGAGATAGTGGCAATTATTTGCATAATCATTTCCATGTTTAAAAATACAGATATACAATCTCACGTCACAACGCAACTTGTTTTGACGTGAGCTTGTAGATCGGCTATTTCCACTTTATAATACCTTTAGAATACTGGCCATAGAACATTTGTATTGATTGTTGGTATCAGGTCATTGTCAGTCATTGCTTTGTATAATTTATTTGTCATATCTGTACTGTGCAACTGAAATTTGCGCCTAACAATGATAACTATCAGATTATAAAGCTTTATATTTTTAACCAAAAAACCTTTGTTTTAACAAAACAATATATCACTTGCACTACCTTTTACCACTTGAACCCCAGCATCCACATTTTGGGGGGATTATTAGCCAGAAATAGACGATCTACAAGCTCACAACGCATCACAATGCAATGCGTTGTGAGCTTGTAGATCTGCTATTTTTGGCAACGATTGGTGTAGATTAAAAGAAAAGTCCATAGGGTTTAAGTGGTTAATTACCTGGTCAAAATAGAGACTATTTAGTATCAAAACTGGATATGGCCTTCCTCTTTTTAATATATAACAAAATATTTAATAGTAACATCTCAACATTGTCTCAATAAAAATGAACTTACCTTTAAATGTGTCAATCAAGTTCTCAAGCTGCCATGCAGTCAACGTCTCTGTGACAAACGTGTCCATGGTGAAATCCTCACATTACTAGAATGAAATCAGATTAAGTACATTAGAATTTCAAAAAACTGTGCAATGTCTTAAAATGTATTGTAAGGTACCAAGCTACTAATTTACAGTTACTACAGGGGGTCTGCCAAATCTATGTTAGATAGGAAAAAAAAGCACACACGATATAAAAATAATACTACTTTAGGCGCGCAACCACTGCCGAATATAAAGCAATATAAAGCAGACCAGTGATAGAGCTCACTCTTACGAAAGAACAATCTCTCCATGAAGACATTTTAATCATTCACGATTTATTATTATTATTATTGGCCCCTGATCATTCACGATTGGTTGGTGTGCTATGCTAAGCTAAGCTAACCTATGGTAACACTGTCACTACCCGATCCGTACCCCTGCCCGATCTGTACTGCGCATGTGCGAGATGGTCCGCCATATTGGAGAACTCCGGACGGCAACTCAAGAAGGACACTTGACACAGTGTCAGAATAAGTGAGAAATGAATTTAACTTCTGTTAGACAGCTATCACGAATAAATATTTACTGTGAATGTATGCAAAAATGTATGGCATATGGCTGTCTAACAGAAGTTAAATCCATTTCTCACTTATTCTGACAATGTACTTAACCCCAAATAAAAGAACCCAATAAAAAGAGTTGTTAAATAATAGTGAAGTCACGTTGTAATAACAATAACTCATCTCTTTCGAGTTTTATTTTTCAGCTTTGCCAAAAGCCACTGTGTCAAGTGTCCTTCCTGGGTTTCCGTCCGGAGTTCTCCAATATGGCGGACCATCTCGCACATGCGCAGTACAGATTGGGCAGGGGGACGGATCGGGTAGTGACAAACACGTCGATGGCAGGGAACTGAAATGTTATAATTAATGCTGTCAAAATTATCGCGTTAACGGCGGTAATTACTTTTTTGAATTAATTGCGTTAAAATATTTAACGCATTTAACGCATGTGCAGAATGGCCCGCCCCATACATCCCACCAGTGGCAGCGCCAGGGTATGGCTGGGGTAGGCTACAGCCATACCAAGAAATGGCTTAGCCCCACCATGAAAAATGATGTTTACGTAAGCAAAATAAAGTCCGCCAACTCGTGCCGAGAATTGCACAGACAGCAGTTAGTAAGATTGATTTCAGCCACTTGTCTGGAAATACCAAAGACTAGAAACGGTTTTGAAAACTTTTGTCACGTAGTGATCGTCTTCTCAATAGAACATCTTTGATAATGTCTTCTGGCCAATCAGAATCAAGATAACGGCGTGATGTTGTTGCAGGAAGTCCCGACGGAGAATACTTTTGCTGTAGTACAGGGGTGCACATAACTGGTACGCATGCGCGGCAACAATCTGAAATGCGTACCGTCACTTGTGTCCAGGGTCGGCGTCATGGGGGGTCATTCGCGGGCCATGCCCCCCCAACTGAGTCACTGTGCCCCCCCAACGCAGGGTGGGCAAGCCTAGCCACTTTGCCGTTTAAAAAAAAAAATCATATAAGTGAAAACGTTTCCACTAAAGGTTTTTTGTGTGAAATACGTCAGAAATAAAGAATACAAATATAAAACACAGCCTGAGCTGTGCTCACTGCTGCCCTCTGATTGGTGTGTTGCTTGACCAATGACCCCCGACCTTTGTTTTGTTATCATTACGTGGCTGTGTGTTTAGATGAAAGCCCGGTGGCGATCTGTTCATCTGTTACACTGATTAGTGATTATACAGTAAAGCCATCGAAAATAATATGATATACAGTACAGTACAAGTAGCCTACTTCTGGGTCTCTGTGTTTCATTCAAGCTCGGCTCTGTGTGTGTGTGGCACGAGCGCATTTTGTGAGTGCGCGAGCGGTAACGTGGAATGTTGATGTTAGCATCTGGTTAGCTAGCTATGCTAACGGATATAAAGAGCTGTTTCTAAACCAAGGTGGAGGAGAGTCCTCTCCTGTCAGACTGAGAGGATCTTATAACGTCAGCTCAGTGAGGTAAGGACTCTCAGTGTTTAGATAGTTCACTTTGGTGTAAGTTATCTCAGTGGGTCTCAAACGGTTTGGTCACCATTTATGTAAACAAGTATTTGCGAGGAATACCTTTATATGATCATTATAGTTATTAAAGAATAACAGAATAAATAAAAAACGGGAATGAAATACTATAGGACAGTAACACAAGAATACAGTTTACAAGGGGAGTGATTAGTAAAATATCCATAAAGAAAAAGTAAATCTGTTTACAGTTCTGTTTCATATGGATGCTGAGAGATGTAGGCTATCCATAGATCTCTTCATGTTGCTCTCAAAGTGCACCAGATTGATGCATTGAACTTCAATATTTTTAAAATAATCTTCCCGGGGGAGCATGCCCCCGGACCCTCCTAGAGAAGGTTAGGTCCACACCCACCTAAAACATGTTCACATGGATAGGATACTAAATACATTTGCACCCTTTTTATATGGTGGCCTATGTCCTTATATGTTTCTGTTTTGGTGGTCGTGCCACAACCGTGCATGTATGCACAAGTCATAGGTGCGCTATAAAATAGCACTACACCCTGCAATGTGTGTGAAAGACAATACACTTTACAGCATGTTTTTTGAAGTTGCGTTGGTGTTTGTGTGTTGGTTGTTGACGGCAGTGTGTGCCCCCCCTTTGTAAATGATTGCCCCCCCCCATTCGATTTGTTCTAGAGCCGACCCTGCTTGTGTCACAAAGCGCATTTGCGTACCGACGTACTTGTGAAGCTTTTCCAGAAGGCGGTTAGATCGCCGGACGACAGAGTCGGTCTCCGTGTGCACAGACAGGGCTGCTGTTAACGTCGGTCTGTACAACGGAATTGTGCCAAAAACTACGCCAACCGGCTGCGGAGGGAGACTCCCCCCTTCACTGGAGAACTGAGCTACAACAGCTGATCCCCCCCCCCCCCCCCCGTGTTGGGGGGAAATCAACATAAGACCCCACGGTTTGATAATTGATAGGTGTGTGGGCTGTCTTTCATTTTGACACACAGAAAAATGTTATAATAAACATACATACTGTATGTTAAATGGATATATCCGCCTTCTTTCATTTATCTTTCCATTCCCACAACAATATACATAAAGAAATGGCATAATATGGACATAGTTCGAATGGTGATTAATCATGATTAATACATTTTAAAGCTGTGATTAATCTGATTAAAAATTGTAATCGCTTGACAGCCCTAGTTATAACATATGTGGTTCGGTGACTTCGGTCACTCACTCCTAAAAATAACTTCAATAGTTGCTAACTTTAATGATTAATGTAATTAATAAATACTTCTAGTAACCTAAACTTACCTAAATCAATGCGCCCGAGCTGCATGCTGGGAAAGAGAGTTGTGACGTAAAAGCCATCTGATTTATACTGCCTTATTGTACATCTAATAATTTTGCACACAAACCCAAAGCTATAGTTCAGACCTATTTATAGCTACTAGTAGAACAAACGTCTTTGTAAAATAATAATTCATCGCATCACAACGTAAATTCAAGGCTCTTTCACTCATTGACAGAAATGTAAAACATTTGTAGCCGACGTTAACTGCTAATGTTACACTTTGCACAGTCTGTTAAATGCCAGGTTACTATTAATACAGATCCCTATTGTGCTGTTATCACAACTCATTAAAAAAATATAGGTTACAGAATTGTATAAATATAGGTAAAATATAGGTTACATACCTTGTGTTTTGAAAAAGATGGTTCCAGAATGATTCAGAAGTGGGAAAACGAATAAAGCAACCTCTGGGTTAAAAATAACCCAGGAGGGTGTTCAACTGCAATTGAAGCCATAATAACCCCTTTGACCCAGCATGAACAACCCACCAGTGTGTTTACCCAAATAACCCATAATTATGACACAGCCAAATCAACCCAGCAATGTGTTTATAGAAATAACCCAGCATTTTTTAGAGTGTACATGTATCTTGAAGCCCCCTGATACTGAGCCATCATCAGCTCCATTTTTATAAAAACGTACTTTGATCTGTGATGAAATTCCTGCAGAACTGGCTGTACTTTGTGTTCCAGTCGAGGCAGAGCATCACTGAGCCAGAGCTGCTTCTGTTCAAGGTCTCTTCCCCGTTAAAGACTTTTTACTTGACTTGCTTGCTGATGGGGGACTGTGTTGGGGTTAGATCTGCTCTGTGTGAACGATCCTAAGATTCCTAAACAGAAGCATGTTAGCATGAGAAACAGCAACTAAGGACTTTTGTCCATGCCCTTGAAATGTGCCTTGCATGTCTGTGTCATGTTTTGTGAAAACATGGGGGCTTTATTTACAGGATTATTATGCATAATCATGCTACTGTTGAATAATTTTGACAGCATCTGCTATGGTAACCTCCTTTAGACTGTATATAGCTTTTCCGTCAGTTCATTTAATCCAGCCATCGGAAAAACAAGTTATTCATTCGGTGCGTCACCAGAGCTCAGATACATTAACCACGGCTCTCCACTTCCATTCAATTACATTGAAAGGACACCAGGCGACTACAAAACACACACACACACCCCCACACCCCCACACACACACACACACACACACTCACTCACTCACTCACTCACTCACTCACTCACTCACTCACATATTATGTAAGCACATGCAGCATGAAATACTGTAGACCTAAATAGCATTGGATAAACGTGATCACTTAAAATGCCTCCTCAAGCTGTTTTGACCTTATTCTATATCATCGTACTAATTCACTGTTAAAAGCACACAATTTGCCTCTGACTGCAGATGTATTGTGTTCACATCATGTCGCTCTGCATCCAGATAACATTATTACAGATTCTTCTTTGTTGAGTTGTCATGTGTGTATGATAATAATAATAATCAACACACCCTCAAATCTAGTTTCTTCCAGTCCTTTTGCACGTGTTTGTGTGCATGTAAGACTGAAACAGAGACCGTATATCGAGGCTTTGTGGAGGATTATAATGAGTTTCAGCTCATTGTTTATCTGTCAGTCCAGCCACTGCTGTGGTTCACCCTTACTGCTCATATAGCGTTGTGTTCTCCTCCAGCAGGCAGCTTTTTCCAGCAAAATACTCCAAACAACCTGTACCTGTACTGCAGCAGACAGCAGACAGTAAGGGTCTAACGGGTGGATTGGAGCATTAAGCAGCTAAACAGACAGATAGTTCTCTCAGAAGTCGGTTGAGACCAAAATCAGAGCTAATAAGAAGGACATATTAGACTTGAAGCTCTTACACACCAATCTGACACCAAAGAACACGTCCCGACGGACCCGACTGTTGTGTTGCCTCATGTCTCCTGCGTCTTGGCCAACAGTCGCACTGGAACACACCGCAAAGACTTCGCATGCGAGAGTGGCAATAACTGTCCTTACCAGCAGGCGGCGGTAGTGTGTATTCGTCATTCAAAAGAGGCAACAACCGGAAGACAGACTGCGTGATAACCGAGAGAAGAAGAACAGACTGCGTGATATAAACAAGCAACAAATAGCGTGTGCGTTCCATCTTCCCTCTACAGCGAGAAGCTCACGGGGCTTTCCCGAACCTGTGTCGAGAGCTGGAGTTAAATGAAATCTCAGATTTGCCTTCTTAATAGTTTGTTTGGGTCCCTCACTTCCGTTTCGCTTCTCATGCACTGATTCGCTAGCTGAACAGCCAATCAGAGTGATTTCTTTAGCCGACGGCCTTTTACCGACAGTCTACGGTGACGGAAGGTGTCGGCACGGCCGAAAAGACACAACGGGGCGGGAGACACCAATGTGAGTAGGGCGAAAGGACGACATCGACGGCCAGACATCTATCTACGCCGAAAATCGGCTTGGTGTGTGTTACGTGCCAGGCAGGCTGTACTGGTGTGGTTTTCCTTCCCTCCTGTGTTTCTCTCTTCTCCCTGTCTTCTGCACAGCTAATCAGCAGCTGATCGGTATCTGCCTGTGCACCTGAGTCTGATGGCTGATTGGATCCTCTCCCCCTCAGCTGGCCTATCAGCAGCCAGGGCCGACCATAAAGGAGGCACCCAGGAAGTCTTCTCGCTCTCTCACTCTGGGCCTGTTGCTGATGAAGGAGCCTGCAGTGTTTAGCCACTAAATTTCTTTGTATTGTCTGACCTTATTGAAAGTGTGTTGAGAGGTGGAGGAGTTAGGTAAGTCTGGGGTACCCTGTACATTTCTCACCACGTAGCTAACTAATGTTTAGACACACTAGGTTAGCGGATTGTTGCCACCCCTGTATATTGTTTTGTCAAAGTCTTTGTAGTTTAGTTAGTGAGGGTTTGAGTTTTGGTTTCAAAGGATAGATGTAGAGATAGGCCTGGTTTTGTTATGCTTGTTTCTTTTGTTTGGCGCAATCCTTTGACTCCTCTTCCTCCTCACCAACTAAGGTTTCAGTTACATGTCTGTTCGGTTCTGGGTTAAGAAAATAAACCTTTTGTAAACTGTTACGCTGACTCCCTCATTAATTATTGGTTGTATGTTATTGTCTCCAGGTCCCCTAGACCTTAGCGGGGACGTAACAGTGTGTAAGGACCTTTTTAAGGTAGGGACACACCAAGCTGACACCAAAGAACTGACAGAGACCTGTTGAGTCGCCTCACGTCTCTGCGTCTTGGCCATGTGTCGCACTGGAACACACCGCAAAGACTTCAGCCGACAGCCAAGAAGCACATACAAACTGCGCATGCGTGAGTGGCAATAACTCTCCTTACCAGCAGGCGGCGGTAGTGTGTATTCGTCATTCAAAAGAGGCAACCGGAAGACAGACTGCGTGATACACCGAGAGAAGAAGAAGAACAGACTGTGTGATATAAACAAACAACAAATAGCGTGTGCGTTCCATTTTCACTCTCCTCCATCGAAAACATGTTTCATGCGGTACTGGCGGTATCAGCCCTTGGACTGTTGCTTGTGGAGTCCAGCTCGAGCCAAGCAACACAGGGATGAACTATGCCACTATTTTAATGGTATCGTTGCAGTGCCTTGATAAGATAATAGCAAATATCACATGTCTAATGTTGTGTTATCTAATGGCTGTAGTATAGTTTTGTATTGCCTATCCTGCTATTTGTGTTTATTCTTTTAATCACACAGCGTTAAGAAAAATAAAAATGTGCCTACAGTAGACAGTAACAAAGTACATTTACTTAAAGGTGGGCTAGGTCATTTTGGAGAAACCAGCTCGAGTGCGCTAGAATTTGAAAATACACAACAATCTGCTACTTCCTTACAGAGCCCCTCCTCCAACACGCACGAACGCGCACATGACCAATGAGGGCATGAGATAAGTTTGTGCACAGATGGAAGGCTGACAGGCAGGTAGGCCATCCAGTTACTTTAGCCGACTCAAATGATTGGTCGTGCTTTTTACAGCGCTACGGCTTCCACAAAGCACTTCAGATATTCATTGCTATCGGGATGTCAAGAGCATTCCATGGAATATAACAAAAAGTGTATCTCGAGCCGGTTTCTCAAACTTACCCCACCTTTAAGTACTGTACTGCTCCACTCCCATTCAGGCAAATAGTGTACTTTATACTGCGCACATTTATCGGCTTGGTGTGTCCGGGCCTTTAGATTCATCAGATCGACAAAAGCACAATTCCAAATGAATGATAATGTTCAGTTTAACTGCTGGATGTGGAAATAAGCAACCGTTTGTTAAGGGGTTGGTATATCCGTGTTCTTCTTACTACTTTTTGTCCAAAAAGAATGGGTAATTGCAGCTTTTTCTTACATCCAGTAAGAATAATCTTATCTGAAATAGTTATTCTGCACATTAAAGTTCCCTGAGAGCAGAGGCCGTCCTTTGAGAGGCAGCTTTTAGAGCTCCAGGCTACAGAGTGAATCTGACTGCAGATCCATTATTGGTGCTGCTCGACATCTTGCCAGTGAATGATTTTAAGGAAGAATAAGGACTGTCTTTGTTACAGCTGCTGCTACCTTGTGAGCTTAAGTCTGTTTGTGTATGTAAATGAGCTGTGCAGTTCCTCTGCTGTCATTGGCCGTCCGGACCGCTCACATGAACTCAAACTGTTCTGCTTTTCATGCAGCTGTCACTCTAATAATGATCCCACATTCTGCACAAACTGCAAAAGCACATTCGGGGTATTGGGGAAAAAATGTGAACCAATTAGCAAGATCCTTTATAATATACTAATATAATAACTAAAGTATATTATTATAAATCTTTGTTCAGTTTTATTAAAATATAAATGTTAGACTCTCTGACACAGTATGGAGAGGAAACACACATCATTCAGAAACCGTTTATAAAGCAGAGGTGTCCAAACTACGGCCCGGGGGCCAAATGCGGCCCGCGGTCCATCTTGAAACGGCCCTCAGCTAATTAAAAAAACTATAATGAAATATGGCCCACAAATTAACGTGTGCTCGTCTTATATTGTACTTCTTAAATACAAATGTACAAATATACAGTATCACACAGTATTCATGTGTTAAAAAGCCCACTTTTCATATAAATTCTGTCAATTACATTTGTGAAAAATGTCAAACAAATCTTAGTTTCTTATTTCCATAACAAGTTTGAAATCTACCCTTCCTATTTCCTCTTTTTATAAGCAATCTGAAGCTTCTGTTTTAAGGAATGAGCTACTAACACGTCTTATAACTAAATAAAGTAAACCCTCTGGAGAGCTGGGATGTAGGCTGTTGTGTTTCTTAGTATCAAGCATCATTTACCTACATTTAATTGATTTTGCTAACTTATAACTTCACTGATAAGGCAGTATACCTCTAGTGAGCGGCCCAGCCATTCGTATATTT